TACAGAACTATTGATACATTTACATATTAAAGATTTGACACTTGGTTGCAAATAGTATGTCAACTTGGGTTTCTAGATACGACTTTCGTAAATCTGATTTACAGACAGCATCATTAACTCACTCCATCATCATCACCACCATCATAATCATCAAATAAAATACTCGTGACATTTTTGTCATCACCATTACCATCAGAATCTAATTCTGGCAACCTTGCCTTTAAATTTCTTTCTCGATTTCTTCATCTGATCTAACATTTTCATTAACAAGTATCACTGTATCTGGATCATCATCATCACCTTCATTTGTCTACAAAACGCATTTACATTTTTGGTAATCTTGTTGTAAATGAGATGAGAATATTGCATAAAATAATTAATGGATGACATTTAATGAACCAATGGTTGATGGGGTGCAAACTAAAGTAAACTCAACAGCAGCAGTTGTGGTTTTCCCTACGAAGCCACTTATAACTACTTGGAGGTGTTTCTATATGAGACATTTCCTATCAAAATTCTAGATTTTAGGATGTTCCCAAATAAAGTTATTTTTGCCCTTATTAATATGGTGTAGATTAATTCAATCAACCATCTTAAAACCAAACATTGCCGAAAATTAGAATTTCCGTTGGTGTTAACTGTATCAAAGTTTTTGTATTTTTATTATTAATAAATTTCAAAAAGATTTTGGAAAGTATCACTAGGATTGATATTGTTCAATATAATGCTGCTTATGGTATTTGTTAAAAATAAATCTTGTCAAATATTATTTTTTCCATTGAAATTTATGAAAAATCGTTGTCTTTTGAGCTCTGTGATAATTATATTAAGTACTCTCTCTTTCTTTTTTCCTCTATTAAATCAACGTTATTATTTTCAACACGTATCATAAACACCATTATTGTCAACGTTATCATCAACGTTAACATCAATGTGTATCGTCAACATGTTTTCATGTTATCAGCAACGTGTATCATCAACACGTTACCATTTTTGTCAATGTGTATCATCAACACGTTATTATCAACGTTATCACTAACTAAATTGTGTACTCATACAAGATTGTAGAGAAATCATACTAATAATTCATTATTTCAAGTGTAAAGTGAGATCTGTTTTTCATAATTGAAATGCTTTTTATTTTATTTTTAATGTATATTTTGTATTTTTTATTTTTAATATATATTTAATTTTTAATTTATTTTTTTATTAAAAATAATAAAAGTTTTAACGTTACCATGCAACAGCTCCTCTGATCAGATACCCAACCGATATGAATATCCTCTCAACATGGAAATCCGTTACACGGCCGACCTCGCACACCGTGAGGAATGGTCAGTCAGAAGCCTACCATGTCTTTACTTATACCTTCAGTCTGCAAGGCGAATAACTGGATCTTACAGCTCCAACGTCAACCCCAAGATCCCCCATACATAGTCTAGCGCCTGATTCCTGATCAGGGAGGCTTAATGCCAAACCACATACGAGAAACCCTGTAACTGAAGATTGATACCAGTGATCAACTAATATCGAATAATCAGCTGCCTATCACTAATGCGAAAATTTGAATTATATATTTACTGAAAAAAATTTTTTTTTTAATTATGGGACACTAACACACTCATTTAACAATATTTCATTGGATAAATTCTATTTACTAAATTTTATTTTATTTTCTTTATTATCATACAAACACAAACAAATGTGAATTCCAAAAATATAGAGTATTGCGACTGTGCGAAAGTCAAAAGGTTTCGCCATAAGTTGAAACTGGTATTGACTTTTGACTTTTGATTTAGTTTCGACATGTAACTTTTTGACCTTGCCTCTTCAAAATAGTTTTGGCGACCAACATTAATACAAACATAAAACAGTTTTCAAAAACATACTTGATGGATGTTTTAACAATTATTCGATAGAAAAGGTAGAGTTGTATGTTAGGCAGATTTGTGTTAAAGTGATTGTTAAAAAACAAGATACACGATCTATGAAGCTTCCAGGTTTGTAAATATATCAATTTTCTTTTTTATTTACGATCAACATCCTGCGATCATACATGAATCTATAACGCACATAATGATATTAATATTGTATTCTCCTGCAACCATTAAATATAATAGTAATAAGAATCTCGTTGAAAAAAAAACCAATAATATAATAATATTATAAGTAAAGGAAAATAAAAGGATATACTTCAAGTATGTCGTGAAGATTGTCAGAAGCTGCATTAAAAAAGTATAATAATGAAAATATTAGAGTTGGTAATAATAATAATAATATACAGTACAAGTTTTTTGTTCTTTACCATCAAAACCTTTACCCGATATAAATAATTCACTATCTAACAGTTTTACTATATACTACTCCACCACCACCACCACTTATATTTCTGCTATTCCTTTCTCCTCTTCTTCTATTTTTACTACCAATCAAAATCAATTAATGACAGTTAATAATTCAACTCGAATTCTCAAAGATATAAAGGTTAAGAAACAAGTGCATCATAATAATGTTGAACTTTAATCATAATTTTAATTCATCACTATTGACAACATCAATTTTAAAAAATAGGGTGCAATTTTTATGTTGTCTATGATGAAACAATTATTTATATGGAGCATTTTTTATAAAATAGAAGCACAATTCATTAATAATTTAGCTCTAATTAAAACCTTTTATTAATGATACAAACTAATGTGCATGCCGTATGATGGTGATTGAATTAGGTGGTGATGGATTGGTTGAAAAAACGAAATCAAGTGATTCTGACTTTTGTTATTGGATGAAGCCTGATCATCAACATAGGTAAATATTTTTTTTGTTTGTGTTGGAATTATTAAACCAAATGGATATATTGATGATGTCTGATAAATCAGATTTACAGAAATTATATCTAGCAATCGAGTTGTCATACTATTTGCAACCAAATTAATGATACCTGACGAAATGTTTTTGTAGGCGGGAAATTATTTTGTCACATTTGGCGAAATGGTAAATTGAATGTGACGAAAAGAAGAAAATGCGACGAAAGGAAGGAAATGTGACGAAAAGGAGATATTATAAACAATTCTAAAAAATTTTATTTAAATTTTTCTTTTAAATTTAATATTCTTCATTAAAATGTCACACGATAGTCAAAACTAATCAAGATGAATCAATTTACGAATTTTCTGATAATAACTATGATCCAATAAGTTTAGTTATTTTCATGATTATTGTGAAGTTAATGAAACCGATAGAAATAATTATTTAGAACAAGAATGTTATGAAATAATACAAATGAAGATGATAATAATAATTCTCAAAAATTAGAAAAAAATGCAAACCAGAAGAAACATAATTTACGTAGCTTATCCAAATTTGACTCAGACAAAAGAGTAAAAAATTAAAATTTTTACTTAAATGTAAAATATGTAAAATAAAAATTATTATTGTAGATTATTACAAAAATTTTCTTTGTGAAAATGGTTATATTTTTTTCTCTCACTATTTTTTTTTTGTCAAATTTTTCTTTTCATCAACTTTTGTCAATTGACTAAATATCAGTGTTGTGACCAGAAACTCTTTTGGCCTCCCGAAACGTTTCAGAAAATGAACTTACACTAACACAAAATCCATTTTCAGCATATACAATCATATAGTAATAAAAAAAATTTTTTGTTAGAAGGTGATTTCAAAAAAACCTTGTAAAGTTAAAGACAATTTTCGGATACCTTAGTAAACATAGTAATAGTAATAGTAATAGTAAATTTTCTATTTAATATTAAAACAAATAGAAATAATAAATTTTAAGTGAATAATAACCATATTATTAAATACCAAAAGAAAATTGCCTGTTTTTAATTCATGCTAATGATCAAGGTAAAGTGATATTAGTTTTACTCGTGTAATTTGGATCATTAAAAACATTTAAAAAATAGAATTTTTTGAAAACAACTATATAGATGAGTTGAGGGATGTAGTAGCAGTCAATAACAAGATAACAATACATCTCCACCTACTCTACATATACCTATTCTTCGTGGAAGTTATATCAAATTTTCTTTACTTTAAACAAAAACGTGGGAGCTTCCTGTAATTTTTTTACTTGGTATTTTGTGAAATAATTAATATAATTAATTAACGTCATAATTTATTTATAAATAAGGAACATGAGAAAATATACAGTTCATTCTTTTTTTCATTATAAAGTGTGTTTACTAAGATGTTCGTTATAGAGAGAGAAATTAATTAAAAGGGAAGTTCATTATAGAGATTTACTTAGTATTCGTTAGAGAGAGTGAACTGTAGCTTGTTTATTTTTATTTTTTTGTTTGTTAAAGGATGTCATAGAAGAAAAGGACAATGTTATATTAAATATTTAATATTAATTATTTGATGTTGTAATTTTTATTCTCGTGTCATTACTACTACTGTATCATAGTAAAATTCTGATTTTTCGATTATTGGATCCTTCCGTGAAGTTAAGATCAGAAGCATCCACTTTCCAATATTTACTTTTCCATTAAAAGCATTAAGATTATTTCTAAAACTCTTTCTAAATGAACAATATAATGTAAACCACTATCAATTACTTCTCGCTTAGCATCCTCTTCGTTATTCATGCCCTCATCGATTCTTTGGTTTTTATTAAAGTCAACATTTAATTCGGAGGTATTCTTCCAAAAACTGACTAATTGTATTGGCTTCTTTTTGTGCTTCCCCAGTACTTTTATTTATCGTCATACCCTCGGTTGAGAGATAAGCTCATACCATTTTTCTCGTACTGCTAGTAATTAACAATACTCGATTACCTGTGTCGATTTGAAGTAAGAAACATGAGACTTTCAATTCTTAACTAGCTCTTCTCGGTAAAGAAGAAAATGTACTTTCCCCGTCAACTTATAAAAAAGTCCTCGGTTTAAAACAACAAACATAGTACTATTTTCCTTAAATTAACGTTTAAGTTGTGAATAATTTCGTTACGTATCGTAGACTTCATTATAAAGTTTAAATGGATTGTCATTCATGAATTATTATTTAGGTGGAATTTGAATTTGAGAATAAACCTTTCTTTTTCGGCTTTGATCTTTTTGTTTCAAGAGAGGTATTTAAGTTTCTTCCAAGTTTTTGTTTAAATTCAATAAAACGATATCTCTTTCAGAAAAAATAAACAATGTACCGGAATAATATATATGAGTTATTGCATACGGAGCATGCAATAATGAAAACTCAGCAACCATTATCAATTTTGATGTGTATCTGCATTCAATAACTGGTTATTGTATCTCCGACCATGAAACATTTCAAAATTTCCATCTGGAAACTTTGGAATAACATGGAATAATGGAAATCTTGGCATGTCTCATTTTGTAAGCAGACATATAATAAAAAACTGTTAAAATTAATTATTTGCAAACATAAACCTGTTTTGACATAATTAGAACCTTTATTGGTCAATCAGCATCATAAATTTAAATAAAGAATTATCATCATCATATGCGGGTTGATTCATCCTAAAATTCTTTTTTAAAATTTACTTATATGTAGCATGCATGTTAGGGCTTATTATTTACATAAATTTTTGCTGCATAAATTTCATTTATTGAGCTAAATTAATACTAACGTATAACGCGGAACACAAATTTGGCCCATTGCATCATGTAAAAAAGTGGTTTTTTTTGCATACATTGTAACAATATTAATAATATTCAATGGATATTTAGCAGCCAATATAAATTCAATTCCAAACTCTCTTCCATAAAATCCTTTTCATTTTACTACTTGAACGTTTATTCATTAATAATTTGTTATTCAAAGATGCTTTCTACGACCAAAATTAAAATCAAACTTTTTATTTTCTATATTTTTTTTAATTTTATTTCCACAGCAAAAGCACAAAAAAATACTACTTCAATAATAGCTAATTTTTTTTCCGACATAATACGATTTCCACAAATCGTAGTTATTAATGATGAAATAGATTTTGTGTGTCCTAGTACTAAGGATTATAGTAATTTGAAAGAATACACAAGCTTGTTTTCTCAAGTAGGGACGTTCACCCCTATTGCAGGCCTTCTTTTTAGTATATTTATTTATGGTGCAAAATCTGTATTTGGAATTATGACAACCTGCTTGATTGATGATATGGTTATTATTGCAGCTTCTTTTGGACCAATCCTTTGGTGGTACACTTTTGCCAAACCATTATGGTTATTTGGAATAATACATGAAATCCAAAAGGATACAAATTACAACTACGAATTTATTTATTCAATAGTTCTTGGTATTTTACTCGGAAGTATGGTAGTTATTCTGATTTTGGGATCAATTTTGAGGTTACATTTTCACAATCGCCGGAATAAACTTAATGAAGATTCATTATGGTTCCATATGTCTCCAAAGAATTATCGTCTTACCAACAAAGAATTCTTCGCTGTTTCAACAGCCTTCTTTGTTTGGGGGTTTTTTATTCATTCAATTGAAGTCATAATTTATAGTGTCTTGTCATATAATTACATCTTTTTAACAATCTTCAGAGAATTCGATGAACTTAATTCAAATAATGGATCAAAGGTTGTTGTGCGTGCTAAGCAAATCAACTTGTTATTTTTAAACTATTTCATAAATTTTTGTTATTTCCTTGCAAGTTTTTGTTTAGTTGCAACATATCATTTTCCTGATTTGGAAAAATATATAATTTGTATTGCTAGTGAAAATAGACTTTACCATGGTTTTGTTCGCAAAAAAGTTTTCTTTTTTACCGTTACCCTTTCCATGTTTCATACATTCTTTGAATATTACTGGTTTTGTACCGACCCTTTTTTTAACGTAGTTTTTACCGTTCTTCTCGCTATTGTTTTGACCCGTTCAATCACATCATTCTTTTCTGATAGTGAAGTAGTTTTACGTATTTATAATCAATATAAAGATGAGAAGGTTTATGCAGAAATGGAAGCTAGAAATATTAAGGAAGTTCAATATTTTTATACATGGGATAAAAGGCTGAAGAAATCTATAAGATGCCGATTTAGTTCCGCGGGTGAATACTTTTATATTCATGAAGAAGAAGAAAAATTCGTTAAAAGTGAAGAAAAAAATAGAGTCGATATTTTTTTCTGTATCTTTTTTTGTTTTTTTTTCGTTATCCATGGATTATTTAAAAAATTGTTTAAAAGAGAAAAGGAAGAAAATGTAGAAGAGGAAAAAGAAGAAAAAGAAGAAGAACTAGAAGGGGGAAATCATGGATATTACTACGTTACGATTGGTGATAAATGGGTGTATTTTTATAAGCTTGATTATAAATATAATAAAGATCTCGAAAACGATCTAGAATTTTTTCCTAAAATGAAAAGATATATTTTCGGGAAAGGAGCCTTGGAAAGTGGTCCAATCATAGAAGAAATTAAGAAAATTATTCAGATAGGGAAAAATACATACTATTATAAATATGAAGAATTCGGTAAAGTGAAAAATATAGAATTTTTACTTTCCGATGGAAAGGAATTCCAGAAAAGAAAACCTGAAGATAATATTACGGAAAAGAATGGGACAAAGATAGAAGTGAAAAGAATGGAAGCAGATGATAAGGTTCTGTTCAACATACTTGAAACCGGATTTCTTAATTATTTTATTTACTCTCATCACAAAAATTCTAGACAGAAACAAAAGGAAAATGAAGACCAAGAGACATATGAACCTCTTGAATTTGTAATTACCGAGTGAATTTAAAATTGTAATTAGTGAAGTATGAATTCGAACTTGAAATTAGTAAAGTTCATAACAAATTTTGAGGAAAAGATTTTTTTTCAGCAAACATGACATCATCAATCTGTATATTAAGCAAATTTAAATGGTAAAAATAATGTTAGCTCAACATATAATATAAATAAAGAATAATAATTTTTTGAAATCACTCCTCGAAAAAAGGTAGTCAGTTCATGGACATAATCAGGTCTTTATCGATGCCATTCCTTATCTAAATCAATTACAAGTAGATAAGAACAGAGGTTAATGTGTATACAAATTATGGGCTACCAATATATCAAAATAAAGAATAATAAATTTTTAAATTTTCACTAGCACATACCAAAAGTCATCATCCAACTCAACCATCCATCCCTATATGTAATTTGTTCATTATAGAAAATTTTCAGCCAATATTTTCTTAGCTCAAAGGTTCATCCCAAAAAGTACTTTCAGACAAGAACTTAAATTTTGTCGGTATATATATGGATAAATTTGAAGTTTCTTCATGTATGTGCTTCTATTGATACTATTAATATATATTTTATAAAGTAATAGATAAATTTTTTTGCACGAAAAACTTTGAGTTCATTATAATCTAATTCTAAACGGTTGTTATCTTGTTCAAAAAATTTATAAACAGTTTTAAAAGTAGCAACACATCTTTAATCGGAACGTTGGAACATTTTCTTCAATTTCTTCCTCAGCTAGAATAAGTAATAGGATTATTTCAATATCAATGAAAAACAATTTTGACATTTTTAAAATAAACTAACCATTCACTTCGAAGAAAAACACAATATAGGATTTTTTTTTTACTTTTAGATTTCCTTTTCCATTTCTCTATTTTTTCAATTAAATCAATGACATTCATTTACTTGATAAAATGTTTAATAAATCATTGTTAAAAGCAACATCCATCAACCGTTAGTAATAGGACAATTATTTTATTACAATATCTTGGATGGAAGCTATAAATAAAATATGGCGAATGAGCAATCGCAGATGAATATCTTGTAATAGTAAAAGGAAAAAAAAGATCAAATGAAAATACAATAAGCTTGTCTCCCGTAATCAAATACCAAATGTTGCAACATACCCGTAATTTTACATATTATATATAGTGTTGCAACATAATCACGATGCAGTTAGACCCGCTTTTAAAAACATTATTATTATTATATTTATTAAAATGTAATAATTCATCATCTAATTGTGGTAAAAAAGCATGTGGATCTCCATTTTTTGTCTATAGCACTTTTCTTGAAGGTGGTGGTTGATATCTCAGATTTAATGCTTTTAAAAAATTAATGAAAAACTGGTTTTCTACAAGGCGGAAAGGTAATTCACACATAAAAGTAAAGATCATGGTCTACCTTTTATTTGTATAATAAATATTACAACATTACGGTTAATTGCAACACCACCAACCCTCCAATGTTGTATTGCCGCAACACGAGTTGCAACACTGTAATACCGTAATTTTACATTACGGGTGCCAATTCCAAATACAAATGGATGTATTCTTTATAAAAAAGGAAAAAAATGAAAAAAGATCAAATGATAATGCAGTCGTGTAAAAAAAGGTCAAATGATAGATAATGCAATTAATTTATTGTAAAAAAGGGAAAAGATAAATGTTAGATAAACACGCTTGTTAAAAACAGCCAACAATAAAAATCATGGAATAAATTTAATCCAATGAAATAGTTGGTATCCCATATTTTGCGCAGACCATAACCCACAGGAAGAATCAAGCACATCAAGGGCAACGAAACTGACACATACAATGAACGAAGTTGTCAGCAACAATAAAGGTTATACGGATGCAGTAGAAAATTCGTACAACATTGAAAATGATGACGATAATAATGAGAATGAAACAGCGGTAAACGACGACGGTGACGAGAATTGCGACACTGAATAATTTTTATTATTCTTTTTTTTTCAGGAAAAATAAAAAAAATTTTTTCTGAAATTACCCCAAACGAATATCATTCTATGGTAAAACGGGGGGTTGTGCGTTGTAAATAATTTAAATTTTTTTTATATGTATTACATATTTTTAATCATTTAATAATTAAATCGATGTTTCTTCAATGTGAAAACTTTTTGAGCGAGTATCTCAAGCTTAGGCATAGGAGTGGGAATAGTATAGAAAATATATATTAATATCGGATATTAATGTATAATAGGTTAACTAAAATTTCACGGAAACAACCAAGAAAAAACTAACGTCGAATTTTATATAAATAAGACGAATAGATAAATAATATTAAAATAAAGTAAATTTTAAAAAAACATCTACATAATTGGTTATGGATTTGACTTTTACAACAACCAATCATATATACCATTTAAATTTGTTTAATATACTATACAACTTGATGATGATGTTATGTTTGCTAAAAATTTTAGCACTTTTTATGGAACTCACTAATTTCAAATACATATTTCTCTTTTTGCTCTTTTTGCTCTTTTTGCTCGTCTTCCTCTTCAGAGTTTTTACGATGAGAGTAAATAAAATAATTAAGAGCTCCAGTTTCAAGTATGTTGATCCGTACCTTATTTTCCACTCCCATCTTTTTCACTTTTACTTTTATCGTTGTTGGTCCATCATTTTCCTTTTCCGTTTTTGTAATTTCCTTTTTTTCCTCTTCCTCTCCCGTAGTTTTATTTCCAAGTTCGATATTTTTTTCCATAGCATCTTTGATTATTTCACAATTATGATGTTTTAGAGGACAAGTTGCATCCGCCCCGGTAATTTTCTTGATTTCTTTTAGGATCGGACCACTTTCAAAGACCCCTTTTCCAAAAAGATATTTTTTCACTTTAAGAAAAAACTTTTTGAATTTTTTATCCTTTAGTTTCTTTAACTGTTCCTTCTCATCGTATTCATAGTTAAGCTGATAAAAATGTACCCAGTTATCATTAATTGTAACGTAAAAATAATTTTTTTCTTTTTCTGTTTCTTTTTCTTCGTCTGTTGCTTTTCTTTTGTCTGTTCCTTTTCCTTTATCTGTTCCTCCTTTTGTAAATAAATTTTTAAATAATCCATAGATAACAAAGAAAGGATAAAAAACGACACAGAAAAAAATCAGGACTTTATTTTTTAAATTTTTTTTTTCTTGGTCATTTTTTCCTTCATCGTCATCATCTTCTTCACAAATATAAAAATGTCCGCTTGTAGAACCAAATCGGCATCTTGTCCATTTGTCCAATTCTTTATCCTTTTGATAATAAAAATATACAACCTCGTTAATATTTTTAACTTTGATTTCTGCATAAACTTTCTCATCTCCACCATGTTTATAAGTACATTCAATTACTCCACCGTCAGAAAAGAATGATGCGATTGAACGAGTCAAAACAATGGTGAGAATAGTGTTAAAAACTGTGCTAAAAAAAGGTTGGGTACAAAACCAATAGTATTCAAAAAATATATGAAGTATGCAAAGGATAATGGTAAAAAAGAAAACCCTTTTACGCACAAAGCCACCAGAACGTCTACTTTTACTAGTGATAAATCTTTCCAAATTAGGAAAATGATATGTCGCAACTAAACAAAAAGTTGCGAGGAAATAACAAAAATTTATGAGATAGTTTAAAAATAACAAGTTGATTTGTCTAGCATATACAACAACCTTTGATCCATTATCTGAATTAAATTCATCAAATTGTCTGAAGATTATTGAAAAGATGTACTTATATGATAAGATACTATAAATTATGACTTCAATTGAATGAATAAAAAACCCCCAAACAAAGAAGGCTGTTGAAACAGCGAAGAATTCTTTGTTGGTAAGACGATAATTCTTTGGAGACATATGGAACCATAATGAATCTTCATTAAGTTTATTCCGGCGATTGTGAAAATGTAACCTCAAAATTGATCCCAAAATCAGAATAACTACCATACTTCCGAGTAAAATACCAAGAACTATTGAATAAATAAATTCGTAGTTGTAATTTGTATCCTTTTGGATTTCATGTATTATTCCAAATAACCATAATGGTTTGGCAAAAGTGTACCACCAAAGGATTGGTCCAAAAGAAGCTGCAATAATAACCATATCATCAATCAAGCAGGTTGTCATAATTCCAAATACAGATTTTGCACCATAAATAAATATACTAAAAAGAAGGCCTGCAATAGGGGTGAACGTCCCTACTTGAGAAAACAAGCTTGTGTATTCTTTCAAATTACTATAATCCTTAGTACTAGGACACACAAAATCTATTTCATCATTAATAACTACGATTTGTGGAAATCGTATTATGTCGGAAAAAAAATTAGCTATTATTGAAGTAGTATTTTTTTGTGCTTTTGCTGTGGAAATAAAATTAAAAAAAATATAGAAAATAAAAAGTTTGATTTTAATTTTGGTCGTAGAAAGCATCTTTGAATAACAAATTATTAATGAATAAACGTTCAAGTAGTAAAATGAAAAGGATTTTATGGAAGAGAGTTTGGAATTGAATTTATATTGGCTGCTAAATATCCATTGAATATTATTAATATTGTTACAATGTATGCAAAAAAAACCACTTTTTTACATGATGCAATGGGCCAAATTTGTGTTCCGCGTTATACGTTAGTATTAATTTAGCTCAATAAATGAAATTTATGCAGCAAAAATTTATGTAAATAATAAGCCCTAACATGCATGCTACATATAAGTAAATTTTAAAAAAGAATTTTAGGATGAATCAACCCGCATATGATGATGATAATTCTTTATTTAAATTTATGATGCTGATTGACCAATAAAGGTTCTAATTATGTCAAAACAGGTTTATGTTTGCAAATAATTAATTTTAACAGTTTTTTATTATATGTCTGCTTACAAAATGAGACATGCCAAGATTTCCATTATTCCATGTTATTCCAAAGTTTCCAGATGGAAATTTTGAAATGTTTCATGGTCGGAGATACAATAACCAGTTATTGAATGCAGATACACATCAAAATTGATAATGGTTGCTGAGTTTTCATTATTGCATGCTCCGTATGCAATAACTCATATATATTATTCCGGTACATTGTTTATTTTTTCTGAAAGAGATATCGTTTTATTGAATTTAAACAAAAACTTGGAAGAAACTTAAATACCTCTCTTGAAACAAAAAGATCAAAGCCGAAAAAGAAAGGTTTATTCTCAAATTCAAATTCCACCTAAATAATAATTCATGAATGACAATCCATTTAAACTTTATAATGAAGTCTACGATACGTAACGAAATTATTCACAACTTAAACGTTAATTTAAGGAAAATAGTACTATGTTTGTTGTTTTAAACCGAGGACTTTTTTATAAGTTGACGGGGAAAGTACATTTTCTTCTTTACCGAGAAGAGCTAGTTAAGAATTGAAAGTCTCATGTTTCTTACTTCAAATCGACACAGGTAATCGAGTATTGTTAATTACTAGCAGTACGAGAAAAATGGTATGAGCTTATCTCTCAACCGAGGGTATGACGATAAATAAAAGTACTGGGGAAGCACAAAAAGAAGCCAATACAATTAGTCAGTTTTTGGAAGAATACCTCCGAATTAAATGTTGACTTTAATAAAAACCAAAGAATCGATGAGGGCATGAATAACGAAGAGGATGCTAAGCGAGAAGTAATTGATAGTGGTTTACATTATATTGTTCATTTAGAAAGAGTTTTAGAAATAATCTTAATGCTTTTAATGGAAAAGTAAATATTGGAAAGTGGATGCTTCTGATCTTAACTTCACGGAAGGATCCAATAATCGAAAAATCAGAATTTTACTATGATACAGTAGTAGTAATGACACGAGAATAAAAATTACAACATCAAATAATTAATATTAAATATTTAATATAACATTGTCCTTTTCTTCTATGACATCCTTTAACAAACAAAAAAATAAAAATAAACAAGCTACAGTTCACTCTCTCTAACGAATACTAAGTAAATCTCTATAATGAACTTCCCTTTTAATTAATTTCTCTCTCTATAACGAACATCTTAGTAAACACACTTTATAATGAAAAAAAGAATGAACTGTATATTTTCTCATGTTCCTTATTTATAAATAAATTATGACGTTAATTAATTATATTAATTATTTCACAAAATACCAAGTAAAAAAATTACAGGAAGCTCCCACGTTTTTGTTTAAAGTAAAGAAAATTTGATATAACTTCCACGAAGAATAGGTATATGTAGAGTAGGTGGAGATGTATTGTTATCTTGTTATTGACTGCTACTACATCCCTCAACTCATCTATATAGTTGTTTTCAAAAAATTCTATTTTTTAAATGTTTTTAATGATCCAAATTACACGAGTAAAACTAATATCACTTTACCTTGATCATTAGCATGAATTAAAAACAGGCAATTTTCTTTTGGTATTTAATAATATGGTTATTATTCACTTAAAATTTATTATTTCTATTTGTTTTAATATTAAATAGAAAATTTACTATTACTATTACTATTACTATGTTTACTAAGGTATCCGAAAATTGTCTTTAACTTTACAAGGTTTTTTTGAAATCACCTTCTAACAAAAAATTTTTTTTATTACTATATGATTGTATATGCTGAAAATGGATTTTGTGTTAGTGTAAGTTCATTTTCTGAAACGTTTCGGGAGGCCAAAAGAGTTTCTGGTCACAACACTGATATTTAGTCAATTGACAAAAGTTGATGAAAAGAAAAATTTGACAAAAAAAAAATAGTGAGAGAAAAAAATATAACCATTTTCACAAAGAAAATTTTTGTAATAATCTACAATAATAATTTTTATTTTACATATTTTACATTTAAGTAAAAATTTTAATTTTTTACTCTTTTGTCTGAGTCAAATTTGGATAAGCTACGTAAATTATGTTTCTTCTGGTTTGCATTTTTTTCTAATTTTTGAGAATTATTATTATCATCTTCATTTGTATTATTTCATAACATTCTTGTTCTAAATAATTATTTCTATCGGTTTCATTAACTTCACAATAATCATGAAAATAACTAAACTTATTGGATCATAGTTATTATCAGAAAATTCGTAAATTGATTCATCTTGATTAGTTTTGACTATCGTGTGACATTTTAATGAAGAACATTAAATTTAAAAGAAAAATTTAAATAAAATTTTTTAGAATTGTTTATAATATCTCCTTTTCGTCACATTTCCTTCCTTTCGTCGCATTTTCTTCTTTTCGTCACATTCAATTTACCATTTCGCCAAATGTGACAAAATAATTTCCCGCCTACAAAAACATTTCGTCAGGTATCATTAATTTGGTTGCAAATAGTATGACAACTCGATTGCTAGATATAATTTCTGTAAATCTGATTTATCAGACATCATCATCATCATCATCATCATCATCATCAAATAAAATACTCATAGCGTTTTCGTCATCGTCATCACCATCATCATTATTTGTAATCATTATCAACATCAGGATCTAATTTACCAAATTCTTTCTCGATTTCTTCTTCATCATCATCACCTTCATTTGTCTACAGAACACATTTATATTTTTGATAATTCTGTTGTAATGAGAATATTGCGTAAAATAATCGGTGGATGATATTGATCAATGTGTAATGAACCGATGGTTGGTAGGGTGCAAAGTAAAGCAAACTCGACAGCAGCAGTTGTGGAAGCTGTTTATAACTACTTGGATGTATTTCTATACGCAGTCAAAATTCTAGATCTTAGCTGAAAATTAGAATTTTTATTAGTGTTATCTTCTAGAAATTTTGAAATCAATAAAGTTTTGCATTTTTATTTTGGAAACCATTAATTGGATTGATAGAATCAATGTTGCATACTGCTCATGATATTTATTGATAATAAAACTTGTCAAATACCATTTTTTCCATTGAAATTTATGAACAATTATTATCTTTTTGAGCTCTGTAATAATTTCATTGAATCCTCTCTCTCTCTCTATTACATCAACGTTATTATTGTCAAACATGTATCAGCAGTACCTTATCATCAACGTTATCACCA